TTGTCGGAAATATGCAACAACTAGTTTAGTAACACGTCATGCGCGTTCGTGTAAATGCTCAATGCTATTACAAGCATATTAATTTAACAAGTAAAGGGAAAGCATACATACACTAATGTATTATTGTGAAACACAATTAAAAGTTTAATAAAACTACTGTGCATATATTATCTCTATGCGTCTTTAACAAAAGGTGACAACTTCTAAATTAAACAAAGACTACGGATGTTTTTACTTGGATTGTAATTCGTCCCAGACCAGACCAGATCAGACCAGATCAGTTCAGACCAGACCAGATCAGTTCAGACCAGATCAGACCAGACTTGGATAGTTATATAAATACAAAGAAACCAGACCAGATCAGACCAGACCGGTTCAGACCAGACTAGACCAGACAAGATCAGACCAGCAAATTACAGTCCAAGTAAAAACATCCTAATATCAAATGTTGGGTTAATAGGCCCGATAGCCGGTCGGCCCATTATCCTCTATACATGGGGACCATCAAAGCCCATCTTGGGTACGGTCCAGCAGAATTTGGCAGACGCTCGTCGGGTGGACCTCGGGGAAGACGACGCTCGTCCTTAGAGTTCTGGGCCCAACAAGGTCCAAACGATATACCGGGATCCTCGACTGCATTCCACACCGGCCGTACGGATCCTCATCCTTTCAAGATCCTAGGCTCAATCTGGTCATGATCCACCAGGATGCCGTCAAGACGCTCGGTCTTAGTGGCCTTTGCTCAGCGGGTGCCAGATAACAATTGAGGGCCCTCGGCCAGAGAGCTGGCATGAGCCGCACGGAGCCAAGCCCTTACACCTCCAAATCCAAGAGCTCAGATCAAGGGAAGCTCGTCCAGTGCCCATGGAGGGAAATCAATATATTGACGCGAAGCGCATTCAATGCAGTAGATTTGGTGATTGGGAAGCTGGCAACCCACAATCCTCCATATTAGCAACACTACCTAACCATTGGTAGTATAAATAGTACTCCCTTTGTCCTATTGGACTTTGCTAACTTTCCCTTTTTTGTTGTCCCAAAAAACTTTGTCATTTTCCTATTAAAGCAACTAATTTGTGGTTCTGCACAAATCTCAACTACACGATTTTTAATATTCTTATTTCACACCTACTTTGCACTTGGCAGAGTCCACCAGAACGAAGGTAGTGTCATTTATTTCATTGTAAAGGGTTGGCAACTTATTCTCCTTAGCAATAGCAATTATCTCAGCTCTTAGTATTGAGATAGACGAACGACCTCGAGGCTAGTGGTTGAAGTGTGTTGTATACGGACCCTTAACAATATTCACTCTTACTTCGTATAAGATTGTAGATGTAGAAATATTTTGTCTTGAAATTTTCAACTTAGGATTTCTTTCAACTCTTGTAGTTCTTGTTTAATTAATCATAATTTCTCAATGTATTTATATTTCAAAAAATTGCAAAATTGTCATTGTCTTCGATTTCAAACTTATGGTGCATGTACATTATATTCATGGCGTGTACATGCATAGTACAATTGTTTCATTTTAGTTATCATACATGCATGCCGATCAAAATAAAACATGGAACATATATAATGCAGTTAGAATACAATCATCACCAAGAATTATATAAAACAAAAACAGAATTACTACAAACAATAGGTTTGAATATGTCTTTAATCCATGCAAATATAATGTATTTGGTTTTAAATCCCTTTAAAATCTTTTCTTTTGTTTTTATCCCTTAAAGTTATATTGACTTTCTTAATAGTCTCTCACCGATCATAACAACCTTTGTGATGGATAAGTATACTCGGGGGTATCTACCTGAGGGGTTATTGTGGAGAATAACTAGAGAAAAGTCAGAGCAAATAAGTAAGAGAGAGAGTGTATGTTCGATATGTGAACTTCTTGTTCTTTACAATGGGGAAATGTGCTGCTATTTATAGCAGCAATAAATACTAGATAGGGACACGTGTCAACAATCTGGTGGCCGAGGGGTCACCTCAATTGGGGTGGCACCGGCACTCGCATGTGCACCGCATTAAATGCGATAAGTGGATGTGACGTCGCATTAAATGCGGTGGTTGGCTGTCTCTAAACGGAATCTTCGTCGATAGTTCTGTGGCCGAAGACATCATGTGGTCGAAGGCATTGTGTGGCCGAAGGCATTATGTGGCCGAAGGCATTATGTGGCCGAAGGCATTGCGTGGCCGAAGGCATTATGTGGCCGAAGGCTGTATGTGCCGAAGGCTTGGTTTTGAGCCTTGTTCTCCTGTGATGTCTCTGAGCTCGATTCCGTCACTGGTAGCCTTCGGCCATGGGGCCGAAGACCGCCCTTTGCGTATTGTGGGATGCTTAGAGCTCCATTTTGTTGGGCTTGGTCCGTTTGAGCCTGTTGGGCCTGATTGCAGTAGTGGAAGTATGTGGGGCGGGGTGTCCCAGACCATATACTCCATCACTTTGTTTGACAGTAAAACAACCTCGCTTAGTAGGAATTGATACATTATATACTGTCATCTAAAACACGCGTGAACGGTAACTTTATCCCAATAGCACGGTGATGTAACTCACGTTTAAAGAAAATACAACGTATGTTAATGAGAAATGTAGCTAGAGGCAAATCAAAATGTAAGTTATCTAATACAAAGTATAAGAAATAAAAATATTGATTTCTTCTAATTCCTTATCATCTTATTCAAGAAATATTTAATATTTTCAAGGTTTTTAATATATATTTAAAAAAGTGAGTAAATAATTTACATTGATTTAGCATCATATTAACCTCATAAATTTTATAAAAGCATATATTTAAAAATTCCTAATAGATTTACGCAATGGACAATAACTTTTTAATCTATAGAATGATTTTGTAGTTAAAGATAAATTAAAAACAAAATAGTGTATGTTATATGGATGAAAAATGTAACAGGGATCACATTGTGTATCATATTTGTAGGAAATAAAATGAATTTGAGCCTAAATAATACTACTAACAAAATCAAAATTATCAAACTGCAGTAGTATCAAGCAACTACTAAATCAAAATTATTAGCGTGCAATTCTTGAACATTTCAATTATAGCAATTATTACGTACCCCACAATTGAATACAATTACCAAGAAATATTATACATTATAATCATCGCACCTTATAACGGTAATCTTGCAATAATTTCATCTAATCGTAATTCAGGAATAGTTCAATCTTTGCACTTATCTTCATTCGTTGGTCCTTGATCGCTTGATAATCTGTTATTCCGGATTATTTTCTTCTCTTTGCAAAACATTGAATCGTAAATTTCACCTTGCATAAATTTTCTCCAAGCTGTCTCACGTATTAATTTTCTTTTTTCTCCCTAAAAATTTTCCCTTTATTTATGGTCTTGACCCTTTCATTCCACTTTTTCGTCTTCTTATTCTTATTTGTATTCTTTTCCATGTTTATGTATTCAATTTTTTCCTCTTTTTGTTCTTCCCGTTTATTATTCCATTTTCATTTTTATTTACTTTTCAGATTAGTTTCATTCTTATAAAAGTTTTTTCTCATCATACTAAGTTTTTACTTAGCTTTACTTTCTTTTGACTTACACTTATTTATTTCCTTGTTCTTTTTCTTACCTTGATTTCACATCTAATATCGTTTTCTTATAAAACTTATTAATAGGACTAAATTAATCCCTAAATGAAGAAATATGAATCTTTTATTTATCTTATCGATATAGGATTAAAGTACACCCTATCTTCTTCTTTTACCCTTACTATAATCTAATAGGATAATCATATTTTACTTTGGAATAAAAATGAAAAATAATAAAATGTAGAAGTAAGGGCACATGTAAATCCCGATTAATATGTTTTTATTCCTCAATATGTTTTTTTCTTAAACAGAGATACTTATAACTTCTTGGTTAACATATTTTAGAGATATTAAACGCGACAATTTGTTTCAAACATAACAATAAATACTCTGTTTTACTCCGTAAATAACAACAAATTTTGAAAGTCGGAAATGTTTTACTCTTGTTTTGAATTTCCCCCCAAAATTAATTCACATAAAAAACTAATTTTAGAGCAAAAAGAAAGTCCTTGCTGGAATTGAGATGGGCTGAGGAAGGTGTTCGCCTCCCTTGCGCACCCCATGAATGGGGCTTGAAAGATACAGTAACTTTATTAGGCTCGATCGATTAATATCTTTTTACGGAAAAAAGGGCATTTTCGAATTAACTTAAAAAGTGCAAATCACCATTTTTATAGGAGGTTCTGTCCGGCCGCCGCCGGTGGTTCTTGGTGGAATTTTTTGATGCAATTTTTTGAGCATCTTCTTTATTAAGTCTAGTTTACTCATCTCAAATTTCAGATAAAACTCAACTGGGAAGACAACCAAATGATTTTTTGAAATGTGTTGCGCTGTTTAACTGCGCAGTTATATTCAAAAATTTATTTGACTACCTTCGAGATTGATTTTTTAGCTAAAATTTGGTACGAGTAAACTACACTTAATGAAGAAGATGCTCAAAAAAATTCATCAAAAAATTTCACTGGGAACCGCCTCAAATGGCGACGGCCGAACAGAGTCTCCTATATAAGGGATGATTTGCACTTTTCAAGTTAGTTTGAAGGCATATTTAACCATTTCCCTTTTTTTATAATTTCTTATACACTTCTTCTTAATATTCATATAATCAAGTACTTACTAAATTTAGAGTGGGTCGCTCCCTTAAGCTACGCCCTGCTCATGGGTGTCCGTTATCACGACGGGCAGGGGCGGACCCAGGAAAGTCATGTTGGGGGGGCGAAAATATTTTTGGGGGGTTCAAAATACTTTTTGGGAGAGCAAAATTTATTTTTCGTATATATATACACTAAAAAAAATTATGTTGGGGGACCGTAACCCCCCTGGGTCTCTACTACTGTCCGCCCCTGACGACGGGTCATGTGGGTCCCCCGGGTCTTTTTTATGCATGTATGATCAATCTTGATATCATCTTCTACTATATATGGATCGAGTATCCATATGACCATATTGTAATGTGTTCTTCACTTATAACTTATTATAAGAAATATATATAAATAGTAAACTAATCGCAGAAACGTAACGTTTTTTATATCTAAATATACAACTTCAATTCTACTACTCGTTAGCAGCTTAGCCACCGCGCTCCGCCGCAGCTAAACTGCCATGGCCGGAATTTCTAATGGCGGTGCCAATCGGATACATACTACTGAAGGCTTGAAGACGGTGACCGCCGCCGCCGGATCCTCTAATCGCAAGGGTGGATGGAAATCTGCCATTTTCATCATATGTATGTAATTAAAGTCGTCCAAGCCAAGCTAATTAATCCCTACTTTTAATTCTCTGATCTGATTATAGAAGCCATTAACTAAATAAACTTCAATTTATCAATTTCTTCTTCGATCTTCAGTGATGCAACGATCTCAGCTCGTTTAGTTTAATTTTTTGCAGTTGTGGAGATGGCAGAGCGATTCTCATACTATGGGATCGCCGGAAACCTCATCACGTACCTCACCACCGTTCTCGGCCAACCCACCGCCACCGCCGCCAGGAACGTGAACACTTTTCAAGGCGTTTCCGCCGTATTCCCCATTTTCGGGGCTTTTGTCGCCGATTCCTATGCTGGCCGGTTCAAGACTATCGTCGTCTCTAACGTCGTCTATATTCTCGTAAGTTACAGCATTTATGATTTACGAACAATCAATTAACCTTTTCCTGCAATTATGAATTAAAATGTACTATGCATGTCTATTCTCGTAAAATTTGACTAATTTAAATAATAATGTCACTAATTTTAGTCACAATTTCATCCACATAATTAACTTATTACGGAGTACTTTTTAATTAACTTATTACGGAGTACTCTTTAATTTATAAGTTGCTCTGCTATTTACTTTTGACTTTTTATTAAACCATTTTATTTTGGCCGTCAATACTTTTGACTTTGTATTAAACCTTTTTATTTTGACCGTCAATTTATATTACACGTGAGTCACGTGATCAAAAATATCCGAAGTAATTAAAAATACCACACGAACATAACATTAAAAACAAATAAATACGCATAATGTAAATTAAACTTCAGTCCAAATTAGCGAGTTGTGAAGTTTATTAAAAAGTTTATTTTAATTTGAATTTTAAGACTTTATATATAGTTTCTAGAAATGAATATTTTAGTTACTCCTTATTAAAAGTGATTTACATGTAAGTATGATGAATTGACTTTATAGTGTGCCAATTTGAAAACCGCAAATCTTAAATCAATTTGAGACGCAAAAAATGAGAGATTATGTCATCTTATTCAAAACTGAATTCCAACCTTGGATACATGTGAAGGAATGAACTGATAATATGCTAAGATCAGGATTACTCCTCTTATCATACACGTTGAATTTTTAGGATAAAACCTCAAATTTTAACATGATATCGGAGTTAAATCAATCCATAATCATGGTGTGAGTTCCCTTGTTAAAAAATGATGACATGATTATAGAAATAACTATGACGAACCGATGATAAAATGAATGATGTCATAATATAATGCATATCAAGTGTTGAAAATGGTTCTCATTTCAAAATGACAATATAGTTTTAAAAATAAGGATTAAAATTCAAATCAAAATGACAATATAGTTTTGAAAATAAGGATTAAAATTCAAATCAAAACGACAATATAGTTCTCATGTCATGTGTATATACAACAATTCGATCGGTGGTTTTAATTTTTTTATGGGATTTTGGTTTCTTCAGATTTAATATGTTGCCCCTGTGATTTATAATCATTCAGGGACTCATTCTGTTAGTGGTGGCATCGACGCCGTCATTCCGCCACCACGGGTGGCTATTCTTCATCGCACTTTACCTGATAAGTGTCGGGGAAGGAGGGCACAAGCCGTGCGTGCAGGCGTTCGCAGCTGATCAGTTTCCAGAGGAATTTCCGGAGGAAAAGGAGGTAAAGAGTTCCTTCTTCAACTGGTGGTATCTAGGAATAGTCGTGGGGGCCACCCTTGCCGTCTTGGTGGTCATTTACGTGGAAGACTACGTCGGATGGACCGTCGGGTACGGCACTCTCACGGCGGCCACCGTCCTCGCGCTGGTGGTGTTCCTCGTCGGGAGTCGAACTTATTGCAAAGAATCTCCGGTCGGGAGCCCGTTCACTAAGGTGGCGCAGGTGGTGGTCGCTGCCGTCAGGAAGAGGGGTATCTCCGAGGCGCGTGACGCTCACGGCATTTATGTATATCATCCTGACGTCAGCAGCTTGGATAACAAAGAGCGTATCAATCATGCTTTGGCTCACACCGATCAATTTAGGTATGTCCATAATCCATATATCAAAATTCAGTACGCCTTTTTCTGCATTTTTTGTATATACACGCAATTGAAATGTTTTTAAATGTATCCAAATTTTATGATTTATTTTTATTTTAAATTAATATGTTTGGGTCAATTTGGACTGGTTTAAAAAGTGTATGTTTTATGTGTATTTTACTATTATAAAAGTATGAAAGTCTGATATAATCTGATTTTATTTGAATTAATCCGTTTAAATCTTCTTTAATTTGAGGAGTGAAATCAATCCATTTAAAACAATGAAAACAGCATTGGTTTCAAAAATGTAAAAATCTGGAGGTTTGACTGAATATTCAAACAACTGGGCGTGTAGACGAATAACTGCTGGTCCAAATATGCCTCAACAAACTCACCAAATAACCCGGCCCGGATTCTAAGGAATGCTTCCCACGTAGGACTGTTGACTGGTATAAGTCTACGTGGCTTTATCATCATCATCGATATTTTTATAACGGGATCTCCTCATCTCTTATTCCCACATCTCCTCAATGTCGAGTTATTCTTAACATTTGGTCCAAAACGTGTAATCTCCCACCTCACCAGTCTCACCCCGACCCGACAGGATGGTGAGGCAGTTAATCACGGTTAGTCAGTCAGCAAAGAGACGATAGACCTTATACACGTGCGCATCAGAGGTCCAGCCTTATTTCAGATTCTGTAACCTCCACACGACCGTTGCGGGTTTCGAACCTTGATCACTTGATCGAATTTTTCCACCACTCGATCAACTGAGCTACCCGTGTGAGTAAAAGGATTACAAATGGGAAAGTAAACTGGCCTCGCCCGGGTTCGAACCGGAGACCTTCATTGTGTTAGACTGACTTGATAACCAACTACACCATTTCTTAACAATTTTATGTGCGTAATAACTATATAATCGCACTATTGTGCTCAAATTATGCTTGATTATATAAAATCACTGCATATGCCTGATTTAGTTATAGTGATATTAATATACACAGCAGTAATTAATTCTCTATGCCCCTCGAATGTGTATGAAGAAGACAAGAAGTGCACGTAAGATATGCGAATAAAAATTAAAGCACATCTTGCATGGAAAAGGGCAGGAAATGCCTTATTTTAGTGGCATTTGTCTCACTTTTGGTGTGTGCGTATACAATTTGATAAATTGGCAATTATGCTTTTGATGACTCTGATAGGATATGCTATCAGCACCCTTTAAAGCAATTAGATAATGAAAGCCTTTTTTTTTATTGCTGGTTTTGTTTTTTGGATCATTAGCCTGTAAGAAGTGGATTTTCTGGTAGCTTTCTAACTTTACAACTAATTAAAGTAATCATCACGAAAAATCATAGTGGTTCTTACTGTTCACTCCAGAGTGACCCAGGGAAGGGCCGGCCCAAGGCCAAGGACACGCTAGCCTTCGCCCCCAGGCCCCAACTATCAAGTATCAATGACTCATATCATTGTTTAAAAAATGATTCGCCTTTGCCACATAACACATTTAAGGATGACACCCCATCCCAGAGGGCCCCCCAACTCCGATCGGAAGGTACGTTGGGAGGATGTAAATTGGACTATAATCTCAATCTGACAGATAGAGAGTGAGACTCTGTGCATTTTGGCATAGTAACCCCTCATCGCAATTGCCGGGATTCGAATCCGGGACCTAACCTTTGTGGCACTCTCTCGCTACCAATTGCGCTACGCCCACTGGTATCACACAACACATTTAATTGTCTATACTCGGGGTGTACAGAGGCAAGGTGTGCTAAAATTGTACAAAAAAACGTGTACTCAACTAGTAACACGGACATAAAGATTAATGGTAGTTGACTAGTATAGTTGGATCGAGATCTCGTGTTCAATTTCGTATTGTACCAATGTTGAAGTACTAGTTTCATTCAATATAATGATTACTAATGTGAACTATGATCTAAATCATGTGTTTCTAAATCATCTGTTTCATAAATGGTGGAGTATAATAAAATCGTAATGTGATCAAGTGGGATTTGGGAATGTGGGGTGCTCCGAACATATTAGATCCACCTGTATTTCCACTTTACGAATAACAATGCAAAACTGAAAATGAAATAAAAAGAAAATGAAATCAGACATATTAAAAATGAATAACTTGTCTACGTCCAATCACAACGACTTTCGGTTGTTTAATTACTCAACAGACTAATTAAGAATAGTGACTTAATAATCATTAAGCCATTAATTAGAAATACGTCTTATTCTTTTCCTTCAAAAATATCGGGTAGCTCAGTTGGTCAAGTGGTGAGAAATTTAGAACAATGGCCGAGGTTCAAAACCCGCAGCGACCGTGTGGAGATTACAGTTCTTGCATGTTGGGGCGTTAGGCTAGACCTCTGGTACGCACGGGCATAAAGTTTATCATCATTAGACCGATTGAATCACCATGAGTTACTCCTCCGCCTTTATGTCGGGTCGGGGTACAGGGACGTCTGGGGTGGGCGATTTCACCTTTTGTAACAAGAATAAAACTAACTTATCATTACTCTCTTATATAGTACTCATTTTGGTTAACACGTCTAATGACATATCACTCGTTTTTTTTTTTGAATATACTATACGTATATGGTATTAATGAGACTATTCATTACAACAATAACAACATAACACAAAATATCTTTACATTACTTACACAGTGTATTTTATCCCTTAAAAGTTAAAACAAAGACAACCTACTATAATTGTATGACTTTCATCTCAAAATGAGCTGAAAAATTATCAATCTAGACAATTAAATCATATGTAATCTTTCTTGGATGAATAGCTGAACTTGATCAAATCTAAAACTAATCGGTTGATTTCAAATATTATTTATTCATTTACTTGTAGTATTTAAGTTAAGCTTTTTAATTAATTTCCCTTAAATTTATGTCGGCTTTACCTTTTCATTATTCAAATTTTATCTTGTTTCTAGTAAAATATTTGTTTTTTTGGTAATATACACTTTTCAGTCGTTATTTTAGTTGCGTAGCCGATGAAATCTACTTCATTCATCTCCAATTTTTAGTTTCACCAAAATTACACAATAAACTTTAGTAGTTACATTTTTCAAACATAACAATGAAGAAAGAATGTATGTTTTCTTGAGATTGGATAGGACTTAACTGAGGTAGGACTTCCCTCAATACATAGAAGTTGTTGAGAAAAGTAAAGAGCTACATAATAAAAAGGGGTTTAATGCACCAAACAACCCGAAATTCGGCACATTAGCCCTCTGTGATTTAAAATATGCATCAAAACCTCTTGTGTTTTAATTAATCGTGCACAGAACCCCTTTTAATTCAATTTTCAAAAAATGAAAAAATAATTAACATTTTTGTATGATTTAGAGATTTTGACATATTTACTTGTATATTCGATCCAAATCGTTAAATTTATTCATAAAAAGGGTTCTGTGCATGATTAATTAAAATACAAGGGACTTTGATATTTTTTAAATCACATAGGGTTAATGTGCCGAATTTTCATATCAGATGGAGGTTGGTGCATTAAACCCAATAAAAAGATGAGTTTTGTTAGAGATACTCTAAAATGTACCCTATTTTTACTTCACCCCAAATATGTGGCCTTAAATGCGTCAATTCATTTAAGTGATGCCCCACTTAAATTAATTGTCCAATTTGTGACCACACATAAGATACATGTGATGCATATGTCATTTTTCAATCTCCTATTTGCAACGTCAAGAATTTCTTCTTTTACTAATCCCTTTAGAAAGTACGAGTACTTGTAATTTTGTATTTGTTCGTTGTAAAATGGTCAAATTAATCACGTTCTGACTGCAGATTCCTTGACAAGGCAACAATCGTTGATGAAAGAGACGCATCAAGCGAGAAAAGGGATCCCTGGAGGCTGTGCAGCGTGAGCCAGGCAGAGGAAGTGAAGCTCCTCCTCCGCCTCATCCCCATCTGGCTCTGCTGCCTCCCCTTCGCCGCCAGCATAGCGCAGCTCGGCACTTACTTCACCAAGCAAGGCGCCACCCTCAACCGCTCCATCGGCTCCTTCCACTTCCCGCCAGCGTCTTTCCAAGTCGTCACCTCCGTCACAATCCTCGTCTCCGTCGCCATCTACGACCGGATCTTCCTCCCCGCAGTGCGAAGAATCAGCGGCAAGCACTCAGGCATCACGGTGCTCCAGAGGATCGGCGTCGGCCTCTTCCTCTCCGCCGCCGCGATGGCGGTTGCAGGCCTGGTGGAGACCAAGCGGCTTCGCTCGGCGGCGGAGAACGATATGCTGGATTCGCCGAAATCGACCCTCCCGATGCAGATCTGGTGGTTAGCCCCGCAGTACGTGATGATCGGACTGACCGACGTCTTCACCGTGATCGGCCTGCAAGAGCTTTTCTACGACCAAATGCCGGTGGAGATGAGGAGCATCGGGGCGGCGCTATACATCAGCGTCGTCGGGGTGGGGCACTTCATGAGCGGCGCTTTGATAACGATCGTGCAAGGGATAAGCGCGAGGTCCGGGAACGAGTGGTTGGTGGATAACATTAACCGGGCCCACGTTAACTACTTTTACTGGGTTCTCGCTGGGCTTGGAGCAATTAATTTGTGTTTTTTTGTATTTGCTGCAAAGGCCTTCATATACAAGAAAATAACGGAGCCCGTTGCTATGGACAAATCGGAAAAGGTTTGACCCTTTGACCGTTCGAGTTTCGTATATTAAGGTGGTACATATATTAATTAATTAATATTTACTCTGTTTTATACTCCGTATTAATTAATTAGCTAAAAGTTACTTATAAATTACATCTATTTTAGTTACCCCGATTTAATCTACTCCAACATTTAGGTGTAAATATATCCTTGTATTACTCTTAATCTCTTATCATGTATATATGGACTGCTATTGGACTCAAATGCTCTAAGAAAACCTTAACAAAATCGGATTAAGATAATTTAATTAATTTATTTAGTGCTTAAATGAACAAAAAATGTGCTCTAAACAATTTTAATCTATATCATTTATATTTACAGCACAAGTATTTTGAGTTTCCAAATGTCCTAATAAAAGAGTTAACTGTGAAGTAGATTATGATGGTGTTATTTTACATGTATGTTACAATATCAAAACACGTTCAACAAATAATATAGTTAATTGTTCATGATTGCAACATACGTAATTTTATTCGTTGGGTATATTATAATAATGACATAAAATGATTCCAGTGGCGGATGTAGCAAGAAAAAAATCAGGTGTTCAAATTATTTTATAATTACAATTTTAAATAATAATAATGTTAAAAGTAAGAAATATCATATAGAAATACTGCATACACACACACACACACACACAGATATATATATATATATATATATATATATATATATATATATATATATATATATATATATATATATATATATATATATATATATATATATATATATATACACACACACACACACACATGTATATATATACAAGAACCTTACTTTCGTCAATTATAAACATGTATTCTTGCAACATTATGATTTTTGTACTATTCACGAACCTTACTTTGACCAAGATTTTCTACTAATATACATAATCAAATTATTACGTTTAAAATGTTATTGAATTCCTATCAATGTGAATTTCCGAAACATCAACCTTTTATAATGTTACTGATAGAGTATATCTCTAGAGAGAAGTGAGAGCTAGAGAGAGAAGTGCAATAATATGCTTCAATAGAATGATTTTGTAACCCCTACAACTACTCCCAGGGGTAGTATTTATAGAGAAAATACGGGCTGGGCTCCCAAGCCTTGGGCTTGGGAGGCCCATTTACAACTGGACCGCTACTGGGCCGAATACAAAGCCACTAATGGGCTGTACAAATAAGTAAGTATAAAATCCGGTTCTGGGAGGTCTTTGTGGCCGACGAGGGCGTGGCCGACGAGGGCACGGCCGACGAGGGCACCCGGGTTCCTTGGGCTCAGGACCATAATCTGAGTTGGCCCCTTTTCGGCCGACGGGGGCGTCTTGGCCGACGAGGGCGCCACTCTGTGTCTTGTGCTTTCTGTTCTTCCGAGTATGTGGGTCCGGGGGCTCAGACCCATATACTCCATCAGGAGTCCCCCACTCTCTAAGCTGAGACGTAGACGAAGTGAAGGAGAGTAGATTCCCGTGCTTTAGTGCTTTCGGCCGATGCGGGCATTCCCGGGCCGTTAGCCGTTGCGGCGTTGGCGTTGTTTCCTTAATGTGTTCGCTTGGGGATGATGAGTGTCTTGTTTCAATGGTGGCCGTTGAAGGCACGCTTTCCCTTTCCTGGACGTTGATGGTTGAAGTTTACGTTTGGGCCGATGAGGCCACTGAGGTTGAACCTTGCTCTGAGGACGATGGCGTCCTTTCCTTTGGGTGGCCGATAAGGGTGCTTGCGCACTCCTTTTGGCCGTAGCTGACTGGCTTTCGTGTTCCTGGCCGAAGAGCCCATCATGATTAACTGTTGGCGGAGGATGATGAGTGTCCTTGCCTTGGGTGGCCTGTTGGCCGTTGTTGATGATGGTATGTGCCTCTGGCCGATGAGGCGCCCTTGTGATGCGTGGACGATGTGGCTATGCTCTGTGGTTACATTCATGTTCTTTGTATTGTTCCTTTTTGTTTTGTTGAGGCCGATGTAGTCCCCCAGTCCCCCACTGCTTCAGGCCGAAGAGTGTGAGGGGTGAAGGAGTTGCTTGAGTCCCTGGCCGAAACGGCCTCTCCGTAGTCCCCCTGAATCCAACCCTCATGGCGATTTTCTGGCCAAGGTAACCCTGTGGGAGAACCCTTGTGCGCAGATCGCTTGTAGAGAGTTATCATCAAGGGTCATTACGAGGAGCCGATGGCTGTGGGTTCTTTGTTCTTTTTGTTCTGTGGCCGTTACGGGCGTTCATTACGTTCCTAGCCGTTGACATCCCCTCATTGTTTGGTATTTGTGATCTTGGCAAGCAAGTAGGACGTTGTGGGCGCTGGCAAGCAAGTAGGACGTTGTGGGCGCTTGCTGGCACTCGTGAAGCCGGCATGTGTATAGGCCGTAGAGTCTGTTTTGCCAGTGGGTTGTTGACATTTAGTTTGGCCCGTTGGTGACGTGGTGGCCTCCCATTGGTGGCCGCTGATGTGGCCATTGGGAGGGTGCCACGTGTAGTGACCGTTGGGTGGGGGGTTCTATAAATACCCCTCCCCCTCCGACGAGGAAACGTATTTGCATTCTGAATTGTCGAAGTGCTGGCCAATTTTCTAGAGAGATAAACTCCCAAGCTTGTTCTTCGTGTTCTTCGTGTTCAAGGTTAGTGTTCATCGCAATCTTCCTCACTTTTCATACTTTGCTTCCTAGGCTAGTGATCTAGTGTTAGGCGTTTGAACACCCTTAGATCCTAAGTTAATCTCCTTAGGCCCGTAGTAGTAGTTATGAAGAGCTTGAACGAAGACTACTACCCTTACGACGACCAGCCCTTCACGAGGTCACTTGACTATGAGGTGCTCGAGGAGTTCGAGGAGGAGATACAACACTTGAGTCCTTACAAATCCGAAGAGCCGGTGGACGACGAAGTCGAGGACGAGGAGTCCGCCTCTTCTTCAAAGGGTGAGGACGCAGGTGTAATACTTAAGAATTTGAGTACTTAGATTAAGTTAATGTTTCGGGACGAAACATCTTTTAAGGAGGGTAGAATGTGACACTTCAAAAATTTAAATAAAAAAATAAAAATAATTTTTATTAGTCAGATAAAAATATTACGAAAATAACATTTTTATTATTAATTGAGTCAGACAAAAATTCAACAGTCGTAACATTCTAATCAGATAAAATTTCCAAGTTCACGATTTTTTTTAATCAGATAAAAATGGCCCGATAAAAGAAGTTACATTTTAGTATAAAATTAATTTTTATAACTATTTTGGATTGTATAATATACAAAATATAAACTAAATAATTAAAATAATCATAATATATATATATATATATATATATATATATATAGATATACGTACGTAGTAATAGTATTATAACCTAAGTAATATTACATACGTAATATAACTAAACTAAGCTACCTAACCTAAATATAATTACTATACTCCTAAATAAACTACTATAACCTAATTATAATAGTATACTCCTACTATTATATTACTACTACTACGTATATATGATTAAGTAAACTCCTACGGGAGGTAAAACTATTCCCGGTAGTTTTTGGCCGGCAACTTCAAAAAAATAAAATTTAACTCAACTCCAACTCCAACTCTAATATCTCAGCCTAAAACCCTCATCTTTCTCTATAAATAATAAGCCAGAACCTACGTTTTCTTCATCCCAAAATCTGAAAAATATACATATATACGTATATATATATTTTTTTTTTTCGACCCACCGTTTTAGCCAGAAACAAGCCCTGAAAATACTTCTCAAACCTTCCCCTTCGTGATACGAATCCAACGGAAAAAGAATCGTCGAAAACGGTCGTGAAACGAGGGAGAAAAACCTCGCCGGAGTTTCGCCGGAGAAAAGCTTTTCGACGGAAAACGGAGAAGAGGGAGGAGCTGCCTCTGCCGCCAACCCACCACCGTCATTCGCCGTCTCGAGAGGAGTGCACCGCTACCCCGTTGGCCGTTTCCGACGAGGTAAAACCTCTTTCCCCGTTTTTTTTTCTCTCTCCCCGTTTTTCCGGCGACCTGGGGAAGAAGAAGAAGACCCAGCTGGGGTCCCTCTTGGGCCTAATTTGTTTGGGCCAGAATAATTTAATTTGGCCCAGTTCGGCCCAGTTGCAATAAAAATTAAAAATAAAATAGTAAATGAAATAAATAAAATCTGGAAAAATATAAATTAAATACCTAGTATACCTATACATATTCGGACCAACCAGAATTGGAAAATAAATTTTTTAGCTATTTTTAATGGATTTAATGGTAATTGGGCCAATTTATACACATTTAGTAAATAATTAACTAAATAACGAAAATAATTATGAAATAAATATTGGAGTAAACTAGGATAAATATATAACTAACTAGGACCTTATGGACCATTTATAATTAATAAAAATAAGGATTAGTATATTTAATTGTAATTAAACCGATTAATAGATATATGAAATTAAAGGAATAATTATGGAAAATAATTATAAAATAAATATCTGGACAACCTAGGTCGAATATAGACCCAAAATATATTTATGGACGGTTACTAATTTATAATGTCGATTCTTAGTCTATTTATTTAAATTAGGCCATATAAAACTAGTTAAGTAATTAAATAAGGAAATATTAGTATTAATGGTGAAATAAATAAATCCCTGAGGTTGAAAAATAATATTCTGGACTAAAAATAATGTTTGAATAAAATAAGGAAAATAAATATTTTCGGTTATGTAAATAAAGTAATTAGATAAAAATTAGAGAAAATTAATGGTGATTATTGAATAAAAATTTAGATGTTGTAGTTAATTATATTCGAAAATTGTATTTAATATTAGAATTCAAATATTGTAATTAATGGCCGAATTAATAAGGTAATTTGATTAATAAAAAGTGATTAATCAAATAAATTCGAATAACTAATAAATTAAGTTAATAAATTCGAATAATAAAATAAAAGGAGAAAATCGGGTAAAATAATTACAAAGAGAATAAGTGACTAATTATATCATCTTAATTAAAAAGGTGAATATTTAGAGACCGGAACTGAAGAAGAGAATTATGAGCATCGGGATTTAAAGTAAGTTTCACGTCAACCGATATTAGTTCTTTTTCTTCGTGATTTCTTTTACATATTTTTGTGTGCATATTTGAGAATTGAATTTATGTGTGCTGAATTTGAATATCATTATATAAAAGGATTGTATTTGAGATATTAGTTTGTTGACATGAGTTATTTTGGAAGATTTTGTAATAGTACGTAATTTGTTATCTTTGTGGGAGTTTAATGA